GGCTTCACTTGTCTCTTTGACGAGTTGTAATATGGTGCTACGAATGGCGAGACTCACTGACGATGCCGGCCAAACGTTTGGGAATGTACCACATCCACGGTTCGACTTCGGAAATAATTATGCATAAAATGGACTCAGGACCAGGTGCGTTCATCTAAGTCTTCCTACCAATATGACCAAGTTGCGAAAACAAGGTCAAACAACTTCTATCGTGGCTATGTTACCACTAAAATCCCCTAATTGGCAACATGTGTCAGTGGGTCAGATGGCAGATGCGAAATTCAAGGCCACTGAGGTCTCTCTCAGCACACATTTTTTAATATTTGGATTGTCGATTGTCTCAAAAGGCTACTTATGAAAAGAAAAAAAAAGTGTTTGTCATTGCACTTGACGAGGTTACTTATTTTCTATATAAGTAGGTAGGGTGACTAAGTCCTTATTCAAGCATATGAAGAGAAACTGGATTCGTATAATCCGTGGCATACCTTTTATTTCGTTTGAAAATACGGAAGGATTGGATTCGTAAATTATTCTCTCCCGAAACCGAAGGAGGACGACCTCGGACTTATGACTGTTGAATCTTGCCAAGAATGATTTGGTTCACTGTCCTCCGACCCTGATGAATCCATACTTATACGCACATTCCAATAGTAACAAGTCCAAAGCAGTTCTCCTTCGGCGTCCGGTGGGCTCGAATTACGAATCCCTTCCATCTTATTTGTCATATTAAATGGTAGGTCGTCGGAGTATTCGTTCACGTGGCAAATAGAACATTCAAGGCACGTCAGTTCGCTTCTAACTCACATTTTGGAATAGAATTGTTGAGCAAGTGTGTTTGCCGTTGCAATCGACGACGCTACTTATTTTCGATATGAGTAATTCTTAAATTATATGTCCTTACCATTGCAACTGACGGTAACATCAGATATCTAGCCAAGACAGGGAAAGGTCACGCGACATTGAGTGGTATCGAGAGGCCTACACATCTCATTTGGGGAAAAACTAAACTCTCAATCGTAAAATCACCTAGACGGACTAAGCTTGAATTCGAGAATTAGTAATAGTCTTGAAAACTATTCATATTGAAAAACTATGCCCCGGTTAAATCTCGTCATAACATAACATTATTCTGCTATACTCAAATTTGGTTGTAAAGGATAAAGAAAAAAAGAATTATATTGCAGTAAGCAACAATCTAGCCGGTTGTTCGGGAAATTTCGTGATCTCATGACTTAAATGGGTATTAACAGTTGCTTTCCTCTCTGGCTCTGGGCGTTTTGGATCAACGCAAAGGTGTCTCAAAGGGTAAATGATCTATCATTGCTGGCTGCGGCGTCGGGGCGTAAAGACGACCGCGGCCGAAGAGTCAAGACGAGGAAGGCATACATTTGGACGGACGAGAATGTGTGCCATGAGCGGTCGTCGGAATTTGCACAACTCGCCTGCCTCCTTCTCGGGCAGTCCGCCCCGCCCGGCCAGCCGGCGTTGGGATGTCGGACGGGCGTCCTGAATGCCCGTGGTGCTGAGATGACTGGCCAACCCGGGCGCAGGGTCACGCTGGACAGGAGGGGTGGCCCGACCTTCGGGCGCAGGCGTGCTGCCGGAGGCGAGGGGCTGCGAGGCCGGGCCGTAGCTTCGTTCAGCACTGGCCTGTCTGACCGACGCGCCTGCACATGTGGGCGTGTATGCACGTACACGCGTGCGTGCGTGCGTGCGTGCGTACACACACGGCCTTAGTCACCTCGGCCCGACTGCCCGAGGGGCGTGTGTGGGCGCAGTCATAAGGCCGGAGGCTGCGGAGCCCCGTTGGGGCTGGCCAATCAGCGGCCGAAGCATATCGACTGCATGACCAAACTGGCAGGGCTGGGCAGGCCAGGCCAGCCCAGTCCCGAAGGTAGTCTGACCCAACTGGACAAGGGCTCTCCCTGCCTCGCTGGCAGGCCAGCCGGCAAGCGCACCCGGCCGTTTGTCCCTGTGTTGGTGTGCAGGCCTGCCGAATGTCTACTGGGCCGGCCGGCGTCAGCCCACGTCCACTCGACGGCTCGCACAACCGGCAGGCCTTCACTGTTCGCCGGCTCTCGCGCCACAATCAGCACAGACAAAGGGCACACCTGCGTCTGGCCGTCCAGCGCCCATTATCGATCGGTCACTCGCTCGCCTCCTTCCTTTCCGGCGTAAGGAGAGGACCAATGCTTGCCCGATGGGGCCAAGCGCCGGTCACGGCCGGCACAGCCTTGCCCACGAGCGAGCGTGAGCGTCTGGACGCCTGTCTGCGTTGCCGTGCTGCACGTCTGTCAAACCGAATTGTGTGCGTGTTCAAGCACAGGCTGGTTCAAGCCTGTAAAAGCCACCGGATTGCGCCACCGATGCTCGCGTGCAAGGCTGGCGTGCATCGAGGCACAGACGCACACATACACGCTACACAAGGCGTATTGCAATGATGGGCTCCATAATGGCCTCGTCAACGCCGCTCCGGTACCGGCCTCGGTTTGTGCCCGCCGGTTCAAGTAGTGCCGCATCTGCCGAAGCTTAAAACACAATGTACGCCGAGAGAGAATGCCCATGCGAGTTGGGCACGTAGACGATGGGCAAGTCGGCGAGTTTGCGAGTTGAAGGGAGCCAGAGAGGCGGACTGGAGGGCCAGAGCGAGAGGAAGACGTGCGTGCACACGCCGGCGCGAGGGCTGCGTTGGGATAGGGACCCAGCGCGAAAGTGGTAGCATCGGGTGCGCTTCAGGTCAAGCTGACAGCACGCAGTATAAACTAGCACTGCACACTCCTGCCGCGTCATTGCTCTTTTCCCTCTTTTGCTGCCCGCTCCTTCTTGCCTCCCGTTTCTCCGGCCGCTCGGGCCCGTCACTTTGTCCGGCTTGCCGGCCTTTCCAGTGGGATTTTTGTGCCCATTCCACACCGAACCCGCCTTCGTCTGGCCTCCTCCTGCCCACCAGATCTGCAGACTCCGCCAACTCCGGGCGGCCGCTCGAGGCGCTTCTGCTACCTTCACTGCCTCGTCGTCATGGCCTTGCTTCTCACGCACACAATTGCCAAGTAAGTATGCTACCCTCACGGGTCCGTTGAGTGAGGACCGATTTGGAGATCTGGACGAACTCCCGTCCGTACCTTTCGGCCTTCTCGATGGGCTCTCCTTAACTAGACACATACACACACACACACACACACACACGTATTCACATACACACAAGATGGTATTCATTGATGCGGATTTTGGACACGAAGAGCATGCTTCGTTGCATTCTTCATATAAGACATTCCACGGAAAAGTTGCTAGGCGAGCGGTACTTGATTGACAGCATGTGGCCAAAGCGAACGACAGCCTTGATGATATCGTCTATCCGCAATGTCAAGCAAACGGGGCAAGCGCCTGCGGGTGTCTTATCCTTTACATTGTTGCAATGGCAACAATTGGTCGTCCGAACTAATTGGCAACTTTTGTCGGACAGGCTGGAAATCTTGGTATCAGTTCTGCCGAAGCATTCGCCAGCCCTATGGATATGAGTTATATGGAATGTGGCGAAGTATGGTCCAATGTGTCCTCGATCATCGACTGGCCATTTTAATTTTGTTTTGTCCATTTGCAATGCTGTTGTGTGAACAGCTGCGTTAACCGCCATACTAGCGAATGGTTGCATGCGCTTATAGCGGTCCTCGTCTATCTCTCTATTTATCTTCATTTAATTGTTTATTTTTGTCCTCTTT